TTCGAAACCTGGGATCTTCCCTGTGATGAAGGTAGTGCCAAGAATGTCTCCCACCTTGTTTATGCCCTTCATCTTCATTAAGAGGCGAGACATAGACCATGTGTTACTGGCGATCCAGATTCGAGAAGTGTTTGTCTTAATCATCTCTTTAAAGAGCATCTCTACCTGCTGAATTCTTAGGAAGAGCACCACAACTTTAGCAGTGGAGTTTCTGATAATATCAGCCACCTGCTTGATGCGCTGTTTCACATCAATGTAGTATGGTATCACTTGATGGATGGATGGATGAATCTCTTTCTCTGCATGTGGCACAAAGTTCTCATAGATACCTTTACCATAATCATCATCAAGGCTCACAACCCCAATCCAGTCCCAGTTAAAGTGCCTCATCAGCTTTGCCAATGCCTGCGCCTGGTATATGTTACTTGGAATGACACGAAAGAAGGATGTATAGCGTAACTTGTCACTTAGGGCTGCTGCAGAGGATGAACAAAGCTACCTGTAAAAGGCAAGTTATGACATATAAATTTGAACTGATTCTTTTAGAGTACATGTAAAATAATATTAAGAAAGAAAAAACTGAACTAGTTTTGTATGTGTGAGTGAAAAAAGCTGTAATCAACAACCAACCCAAAACTGACCCTTTTTTGCCCTAAATTTAATTGTTAAGATCTTTTTATATAAAGTGCTTGTGAAAATTCCAAAAAAAAAAAAAATTAAATGAACTACTGTGATTGTCAACAGCAATACTGTGGCACTAATTTGGTGTAAGCTCAAAGTGAAGAGTAAAATTGAGTAATAAAAAACAAAAACACAACAAAAGCAGAAATAGGAACACAATTAAAATAAAATGATCAAAAAAATAAAATGAGGTAAAACGACAAGTGAAGAAAATGACTTGCATGAATTTATATAGAAATACATATAATAATGACGTTTACTCAGTATTACGTGGGGAATCTTGTACAGGCTAATCAGTTTGGCAGCAGGAATAGATGTTTCAGTGTATCTCTCGCCTAAAAAGGCTTTCACAGGTGGACTGAATTTTGAAAAGTCAGAGAGGACTGTAAGTGACCCATTAACAGCCAGCATGTCCGCCACACACTGTAAGGCTTTGGTTGCATATGCACACGGATCACACATCAGATATCCAAGCTGAATCTGGAGTCATTGATCATTTCAATTGTGTGAATTGAAGCTAAAGATGTTAATAGATCAAAGCTGAAATAAAGAGACAAAGAACATTAGTTAGAATGAGAGTGTGGTTTTAATACGTAGAGGTAATTATGTGAGGATATTGTTTTAAAGCAATTTGATACAACCAAGGAAACTCCTAATACTCACTTTATACAGACAGACGTATCTGGAAGGATCCAAGGCTGAAGATCTTTTATGTCAGTGTGAACTGAGCTCAGAATCCCAATGACAATGTCCCCAGGTGCATATGCCCCATACATGGACTCAATATGGACCTCATATTGAGAACTCACTGTCTGACACTGGAGTGAAGGAATAGAAATTTATGGTGGAGCTTAATTCAGTGTTCCGGTTGCATGTTCTTAGAGAAAGACAGCAATATGCAGGTAAACAGAACACACAAAGACACAATGAATGTTCTGATGAGGAATGTCATGCAAACTTAGACCATTAAGAGGGAGAATGTGGGAGGAAAGGAATCACACAGTAAGGGCAGAGTCTGTTTTACCTAAAGGTGACACGAGAAATTGCCAACTGAGAATGAACAACCCAGAAATGACACTATTTACGCAGCTCTGCCTTTTGGATTGTTTGCTTGTCTATAGAAGCCGTCAAGAGTAAGATGGGGAAAAAAAGTTGAAAGCCTGCTCCTGAGTCCAAGTTTCACTTTATTTTTGTTTCTGTCTGAAAATTGTCTGAAGAGAATATTTGTTGCATCACTTTCACAATTCCAGTGTGGGGTAGCTTTTTTGTGTGTGTATATATTTATATATCTCTGTTGTCGGAAAAAAACCTTGTATCTATCATTTTTGAGTTTTTGAAATAATTTTAAAATGCCTTTACATTGTGTGTCAATTCCATGATGAATGGACCAAATGAAACGGCCCTCAATGACTTAGAAAACAAGTGTGGTTCTACTGACTTACATTAAGAGTAAAGTAGGTTTTTTCCTTTTCCTGAAAAGTCATCATTTTGGAGAATGAACGATCTTCAGAGGTTATTTAGTAAGGACAATGGTTATACGTAGAACCATGAACATTCAAAGAATCATTTCATTTGAAAGGTTTTTTGCCTGGTAAAATGTTTCTTTGGATTCATGGAGAATCTATTGTATATTTCTGAATATGGTTCTATATGGCATCAAAAGGAGTTCTGGTATTGTTGGAATGTCAAGCTTGAAATAACAGAAGAACCCTCTTTGGTGCTATATAGAACTCTTATTTCAAAGACTATATGCAACATATTCACCATAAATCTCCATCAGTCTCATCTTGAGATTATTTTTAAATTACACTGCTTCTACAATGTGGGTATTATTACGACCTTTATTCTTTGTCCAGTATTTAATGCCATACATAACAAATAAGAGTGATATACCTTACAGTTTCACATGTACTAATTAAGCTAACGTCACTGGATGTTTTGAAGTTGGACAGATTCACTGACGCTGTTGAAAAACTGAAACTGAAAACACGGAAGAGAAGGGACAGCAGCACCGTGCAATCAAGCTTGTGCTGGTTTTAAATCTCGGTGACGCTTTATTTTGCGTGGTCCTTTTAGATAAAACAAACATTCAACAGACTCTCAGTAACATGTCAAAAACGTATGAGGATCAGGATTAAGTTAGGATTGAGGTTAAGGTTAGGTTTAGAAATAGGGCCAGGGTGAGGGTTAGGATTAGGTTGTGGGTTGAGGTTAAGGTTAGGGTTAGGATTAAGGCCAGGGTTAGGGTTAGGTTTTTGGTAAGACTGGGTAAGGTTAGGTTTTGCATAATGGAAGTAACATATTAACAATACATCTACTTAATGTAAGTAACATATAAACAGAACATCTACAAGATATTTACTTCAGTGTATTTAGATGCCTCACTATTGCTACTTCATTGATATGTTGTTGTGTTACTGATAATCTGTTAAGAGTTGGTTAAATTATCTACAAAGAACCACTCCAAAAAAAGCGTTACCCTAAAATGTATTATTCTGTATATTATTTTAACACATTTTCAGGCATTTTCACATGTTCTTGGTCTCATCAGATACTGACCAAAGTTGACAGTAAATGTATTGTAGTGGTATAATAGTCATTTATAAAAAAAATAAATTAGGAAACCTTTAAAAATATGATTTATTTTTCCCAAAGCAATGAATGCCAGAATATTGAGAGACTTTACACACAGATGCACACACATACTGCACACATTATATATACACACCTTAGCAATCACATGGGATACTATAGCAATGGCCTAGCAACACCCTAGCAACCACTTGGAATACCATAGCAACATCTTAGCAACACTTTAGCAGCTATCTGGAACTACTGTTTAAACCCAATTAAGTTATCAAAAGCAATCAACAGTTTTCCACAACAACTTTCTATTTTTGCTGCTCTATTGTTTAAGTATTTTTGTCATCTCATATTTTTCTGATCTTCCATTTCTGTTATTTTGAAAGTGGAAACTTCTCTCAATTCTGTGCATTTGTTAAAATTATTTGGCAATGGAGGAGGGAATTATAAATAGATAACTGGATCATGTGATCGCATTGTGAAAATGCTGAGCTACTCATAGATTTTAGTTACAAAAGTGTAGTTAAAAAAATCATTTTCAAAAATTTTATTTGAAACCAACATACCTCTTTTGGATATGATTTTCTTTTTCCTCCTTGGCCCACCACAAATATTCCACTTTAACAAATTTGGGAAACCCTGCTCTAGGGGTTGTGGAAGTTGTTTGGGAGTTGTTAGGTCCATCTGTGTTAATGCTTATCACGTTTGTAACAGTTAGAAAAAAACAGCTACTGGTCACAGTTTTCACAGTTTTTATTTTATTTATAAAAGGTCTTACAAATGTATAGTACAAAAATAAAAAAAAGACACTACAGTGCCCATTCAGTTTCACACATGCCTGTCCTAACAGATCATGCTAAAAAAAAAACATGTAAATAACTTGTACATTGTACATAATAATACATTAATAAATAATAACACTAAAAACACAGGGTTCGCCTGCTTAATCAATGTAGACTGATTCTCCACAGAGCAGTGGGTTCTGTCTGACAGAAAACAGGCAAATAGATCAGTTTGTCTCAGTTTCTGTCAGTGTTTTTGGTGAGACAAATTGGCCAAACATTTATCAGAAGTATACAAAGCAATACAGAATACAGTTTTTTATATAGCATACAGATTTGTTTTCTGTAGACCAAATAAAAATGACAGATTAGTATTTTTTCTTTCAAATATGTGTAGAGACAAGGCAGCCTGGGTCTGACAAATTCCGTACGACGAGCTCACATTAAACAGAAGCCAACAACTTCTTAAAATTAAGCAGGATTATGGTAAGATTAAAATGACAGCAAAGACACAACAAACATAACAAGTTGCTTAAATAAACAAAAATGAAACATTAAATTTATAAAATAAACAAGTGGTAGCTTGGCAATTTGAATTGTGTCCAGGCACATCTGCCTGATTCTCCAAAAAAAAGTTTTTTGCCCACTGCTACTTGCTGCAGTCTTCTAGCGTGTGTATCCATATTAGACACTTTTCAAATAGCAAAGCAACAGATGATTTAAAAAAGTCTTTCAGCCTTTAGTCTTGGTCTGGGTCTCTCTATCCTCTATATACTGGGAGAACATCAGCAGAAGGAGAAAGAAAGTAAAGGGGTGATTATAATGGCAGCTACAGGTATAACTTTATATTCTCGTATGCACAATATCAACTTTTGTAGTTTTGATATGGCCATGTGTAATGAAAACATCTGGGTTTGTAGAAAGTTCAGCACCTAAGAAACGTGTTGAAACTTGGTCTGTGGTAAATTTATCACTGGTAAGACAGGTAAGAATTTTACTACAGATTTTATTACAGATGAACAAATTAATTCAACACGAACAGGCTTATAGATTCATTAGTGTCTGGCTTCTTGGTCTCAGACTTCTTGGTCTCAGACTTATTGGTCTCAGACTTCTTGATCTCCAACTTTTTAGTCTCCGATGCCTAAATGAGGCAATACTGGCTTCTGAGAGATGCAGGCTGTTACCATCCCAGTTGGACATTTCCGATTCTGCAATGCTGAATCGGCTCTGTGGTGTGCTGGGTATTGATGCTGTCTCGCTTGAGGTCCCACAAACCACTCCGGAGTCTGAGTCCATTGTAAGAGACTCAACTGGTGGTTTTACTGCCTTCTTTGTTTCAGACTTTTCTGAGAGGATCTTAAACCATTTTGGGGCAAAGTGGCAGAAGATGACTCCATAGTTTGAGACCATAATGCCAGAGATCTGGACGATGGGGCGTGATTCATATTGAGTGATAAAGACTGGAATAAAGCAAAGCCAGGCAAACAGATGGATGAGCATGCTGAAGACTATAGGATCAGTCTCATTGTCTCTCCCCTTGAAGGCCAGTCCAAAACTTAGCACAGCTAGTAAAGCAATGTAGACATGCATCGCACCAAAGCCATACAGAGACCCCTGAGTGCACAGACGGTTCAGAGTAAGTAACTGAGTTTTTGATTGTGTCTCCTCAACATTAACAGGATCAAATACCATCCAGAAGATACAGATGAGAGCTTGAATAACAGTGAGGATTCCTATGATGACAAAGGGCTTATCAAACTTTCTTAGTTTGCGCTGCTTTGCAGGATTAGAGGACATTAACTCTAAGAATATGTGAAGGGCCTTAACCAGAATGCAGGACACACAGAGAGTGAACCCAAGACCATACATGGTCTGTTGAGCTCTGCAAATATGGATGTTTGGGCTGCCTAAGAAAAGAATTACACCTCCAAAACTCACCATCAGGCCAAATTTCATCAGACATGAAGTGACTAAGATGTCCTTTATGATGGGTTTTTCTCTGTGTAGAATGAAAAAGATAAATGAGAACACCAGCAGTAGTGCACCTATTACTGTTCCAATCATCACTACAATGGAATAAGCTGAAGACCACTCCAAAAACAAAATATTCCATTTCTGACATTCTCTCGACCCTGGAAGAGACCAAGAGCCTTCTGGACATTTTTTACAGGCAAGTTGATCTGTGGAGAAAAAGAAAGCAATATGTGTTCACGAGGGGAAAGTAGACAGAAATGTAATCTGAGTTTTATCCAATATTTAATATTAGGTCAGTCGTTACATAATATGTGAGACAAACTACCACAGGGGTGGACAAGCTTTTTTGGCCCAATGGTCTCATAAAATCTTGGAAAATACAGGTCCTTTTCATAAGGAATGTTATCTTCAAGAAGCAGAAGATGAATCTTTCCTTCAAATCAATCACACAAATCTGTGTGATTGATTTCTGAAAGGACTTCAAATTCATGCTCATGCTCTTTAATAATCCATACTGGATTAATCACATCTTGAGTGTCTAAACCTGGATTAATCACAGTTTGAGTGTCTAAACCTGGATTAATCACAGCCTGAGTGTCTAAACCTGGATTAATCACAGCTTGGGTGTCTAAACATGGATTAATCACAACCCGAGTGTCTAATTCTGAATTAATCACAGGCTGAGTGTTTAAACCTGGATTAATCACAGCCTGAATGGCTATAACTGGATTAATCACAGCCTGAGTTTTAAACATGGAATAATCACAGCTTGAGTATCTAAGACTGGATTAATCACAGTTTGTGTATCTAAACCTGCATTATTAACACACTCAGTGTCTAAATCTAGATTAATTACAGTTTAATAACAAAGGTTGTAATCACAAAAGCAAAGTCAAGACCAGGGTAGCAAACAAACCAAAACAACAAGACAAGTACTGCCAATAACACCTTGATGAACACTGTGAAATCTACAATATTATTACTTATAAAAATGTAAACAGAAAATGTTTAATATAATGCATAAACTATATATTGTTATTGATGCTCTGTAAAATGACATTGAGATTTGGAAAGGTGCTATATAAAAAACATATTCATATTATTTCAATTATCTTAAAAAAACAAAAGCTCAATGACTGAACACAGCAAACTCCTCAGGAAGGCAGTCTCAGATTATCTAGGTCTGTATATAGTTTGAATGGTTACCAAAATGGACACCTCACTTAATATCACATAATAATACATTACACTGTTAGATAAACAGATATTACGTCTCTGGTTCACATATGTTGAGACATAATCTAATTCCACAAAATGTGTGCACTGAGCATCGCAGTGATGAGTAACACTAACCAAAACGAAAGCATTTGCATGCCGCTGACTACCTTAACCATTTTGAGCATCATTCTGTGCTCTCCAGTCATGTCTGAAAGGGTAAGACTTTCAAAAGTGTGGGCTCACTTCAGAATTTTAATGAAAATGAATCTAAATGCAATATTTGTAAAGTGGTAGTTGCTTGTAAAGGGGGAAACAAATGCAACCTCATGAAACACAAATACAAGATTCTATAAATCTAAATTACTGCAGCATGTTTGCTTTAGTAAAGAGGTTGCTGTGTCTGCGTCCTTAGTGAACCCTCCCGGTGTTGTGACAAATTGTGCTACCTTGTTGAAATGTCCTACCATGGTGCATATATATAGTTTTCTACATACAACTGTAGGTAGGATATTTTAATAGCCTAAATCACCCTATCAAAAATGCTACCAGCATTAAAACGGCAAAGTTAAATTTGCCAGCTTCTTATTCTAATTTTCCTGTTCCACCTTAAATGGTGCAGCAGGCATTATAATAATAATGCTGCACCATTTAAGGTGAAACAGGAAAATTCAAGTAAGAAATGTCCTTATCAGAAAATATTTTCAGCTTTAATATAATAATTAGGATATTTTGATAGCTTATCTGGATGAAGTATTTATATTAAGATGAGTCTGTACTGAATTAAAATTTGGTAGCTAGCATAGCATAAATCGCTAACTGCTAGGTAGTTTCAACATAATGTGTTCTGACAATCAGGAGTACCTAATTTTGAATTGCTTAGCGGCATCACATCTGCTCACATCCTGCAGACACAAGATGATGCTGTATTACACTGAACAAATGGCCATTTACATTGTCTCTTTTTCTTTTCTGTTTTTCAGCTTCAAAGGCATATGTTCTCTTTGAGACATGATTAACCAGTTGAGTTTTTTTCTCCTCACTTGAGCATCTTAGACTGCAGTACCCTAAACAGCTGCTGTGTTGCTTATTAGATACAGTCAGCACTGCTCACTGTACAATATGGAAGCATTTAGGACCAAGTTCTGAGATCATATGAAACTGCAGCCCATGCAACACAGAGCAGCTGATCACAGTAGAGCTCAGTGCTTTACCCAGTCTATAAGATCTAATGGAGACCCATTACCCTTAGGCTACCACTGCTCAATATCAGTAGGAAGTATGACATCTTTCCAAGCCCATAAATGAAAGGCCAATTCTATGGACTCTAGGCACAGATATCAGTGACCACTGAATGTGTTCTCAGGTTTAAGTGATAGAGCCCAACTGTGGTTAAGGAATAACTAGCTTTCCCCCAAGGAACTTATTTTACAAAAAGAACTATTTAACTCACCCGTTTTATTAGAATAGTATCCCTCACTACAGTTAGCACAGGTATAACAACAGGAGATGGTTGATATGTTCTTCTCTGTGCCTGGGAGACAAGTCACTGAACACCTAGACAAGGGCACCTAGATGTAAAGAGAGAAGTTTATTTGGTTAAATGTATAACATGCATTTATAATTATACACATACATAATTATACACAAAATGACAAAAAGGGACAAATGCCTAACCTGTCGCAGTTACAACAAATGACAAAGATTATAAACTTATAATTTACATAAAATTTCTGTTCGATTTTTTCTATGTAACTGACCAACATAATGAAAATTTATTATGTAACTACCTATAAATAGTATAGCAAAATGTTCCCGTACAGCCAGTATTCTACACTGTGGAACAGAAAGTATTTATCTTACCGTATTGTTCCATGGGATTTTGCTGTCATTGACTTCAACTTCTTCATTCTTTATGAGGAATTGTCCCACCACCTCAGGTACTCTTTCATCACCGTTCATTTTCCAGCTAATGAGGTCGTAAGCATTCTTAAAATCACCATATTCATCAAAGGAATATGTCTTGTTGTCCAAGGTAAAATTAATTTCACGAAGAATGCTCACAAGCTGAAAAACAAAAATGAAAATGATTTCTGCTCGTGTCATATAAACACACCTTTGTTGTAAAGGTGTATTTTCGGTTTGCTTCTCTTTGCTCTCTTTTATGTAGCAATTTTACAGTGAAAAGTTGTTTTAACAAAAGCTGTTAACATTTTGAACCCTAGACTGACTATTGTTTTTAATCTTAAAATATAATTAATAATTACATATGAAAAAAAAAAAACAAGAAAGACTTAGTAAATGTTTGGACTTTTATGTGTGGCAATTATTTGCTCATATTTGTGATTATATTTTTCATTTTGCTACTAAAACTGAATGTCTTTCCAATCCCATAGCCAGCATTCATTGTTAAAGATGTCTAAGGTACTGTGGTTGTACCTCCAGCAAGGCCAACTATTTTAGATGACATTGTATCTTGGAGGACAAACGTATACCTGTAAATTACCCCTTTTCTGAGTGTGTACCTGAGGTGGGTACAATATTTCCCTAAACTACTGTTAAATAATAATATGCTTCAAGATGCTGCTAAATTTCCTTTTGGATCACTGAATTCACCACCCTGCCAAGCACACAGCCTGATATAATAATATAATAATCAGTTACCATGTGCATTATGAGTTAGTTAACTGAATAGCCATTCAGTTATTCATCTTTCCATAAATCAGATTATCAAAATTCCTCTGAATAAACATCCTAACTATTAACATAGAAATTTTACCTGCCATGGCAGTAGGTTTACATCTCCAGAACAAGCAGTGTCATTACATTTAAGAAGTTTCCTGATGGCATGAGCTACAGCATACACTGCTATTCTCTGATTGTAGGCCTCCGTCAGGTCCACAGCATGGAGCAGGTAGTCATCGTTCGCCTCCTGGGGGTCTGTCACACTACAGGCCAAAGGGGATGTGTGTACTGATTGCTGACTGCAGTTGAACCTCATTTGCTTGTACTCCTTAATGAAATCATTCCTCTCTCCTGGGGCTAGCCTCAGATTCTTGAGATAGTCTTCAAAACCTGGGATCTTCCCGGTGAGGAAGGTAAAGCCAAAGATGTCTCCCACCTTGTTAATGTCCTTCATCTTCATTACAAAGCGTGTTGTAGACCAGGCATCACTGGCGATCCAGATTCGAGTAGTATTTGTCTTAATCAGCTCTTTAAAGAGCATCGCCACATGTTCTGGTCTCAAAATGAGCAGCACAACTTTGGCAGTGGAGTTTTGGATTTTCTCAGCCACCTCTTTGATACGCTGTTCAATATTTGTGGAACCTAGGTAGTTTGGCACCACTTCCTGGAACTCCACACATATTTGTTCTTTTCCTGAATCGATCAGAAATTTCTCCAGGGCAGGTTTTCCATAGTCATCATCAAGGGTCACCACTCCAACCCAGTCCCAGTTAAAGTACTTCATGAGCTTTGCCAAAGCCTTTGTCTGGTATACATCACTTGGAATGACACGGAAAAAGGATGCATAACGTGATTTGTCACTTAATGCTGGTGAAGAAGATGTGCAGCTGATCTGTTAAAAGAAAAATAAAATGTGTACATTACAGTATATCTAACTGATAGTCATGTTTATGTAATTTACAGTTATCATTCATTTGTAAAATTGCTACATAAAAGTATAATACAGATAAAAACGCTGAAATACAAATGTATGCAGCACTACCAGTACAAAAGCAGTACAAAAAAGTTTTTTTCTCAAATCAGCTCTGAGTTATGCACTACATTTGAAGCAGTTTGTGCTCTGTTGAGATTTGTTGTCTTTCCTTGTTTTAGTTGTTATTCTTTTGTTGAGTGTCCGGGGTGGTATAAAGGCCAATCCATTAAGATTTATATTAAGCTATATTCACAATCCGTCTAACATTGATGCATTGATGTAAGCTCCATGAAATAATGTTATACATTATTTTGTGACTATTGTAGGGCTGTTTCTATCAATCAAATTAATAAGAACTATTGAGTTTTTAATTAAAGCTCAAACAATAAAAAATTACTTAACTATACAATAACAAACTACATAGAGTTTTTTTCCAACTAGGAATACAGTCACATAATCCTGTGTGACACATATCACACACTATGTGCAAAAGGAATGGATGGGGGCTTGAGCACCTCCTCATTGCTTAATGTCTGTGATACAGGCAAGAGCTCATGCTGCCACCAGAGGGAGGCAGATAGCAGCCTCAAAATCTCAATCAGGGCAATTCTGAACACCCGGGGGTCAGACTTACTTAAGGAGCTCTCTTGATTTTTTTGACACAAGACTAGTTGGAAATTTGGTTTAGTTATTTATCTGGTTGATTTATTTTTATGTAACCTTTACATTTATAGTTTTAACATAGTGTCTGAACACTCTTTTACCTGTCAATTTCATTTTACGTATTAAACGTTTTTATTTATGCCTAGAAATACTTTAGAAATACAATGTTAAAAGATATTATGTGTGTAAATAAAAAGTGGATATATGAACTGGAAGTATATTAAATAATCATAACAAAAGTTCTAGAATACTCCTCTAACTGTATTTTGAATGTAAAACTCTAGATATGGTGATAAGATATGCTTGGGAGACTCCTGATAGCCTGACAGATTGGAAGCTGTTTCCTACACAATTCCAAACACAAAAACAAATCTAATAAACTTCTGCTTTAGATTTGTGTGTAAACAGCAGCATCAGCTGAACACAGACACCATAATAAATGATGTCTATGTCTGCTCAAAGGCAAGCCATTTCATTTGCAGTTTAGCTGGTAATATGATCTATTTTGACTTAGCCAACTGTATGAAGAAAAACTATTGCAGGCTTAGAAGCTTTTAGCTGGCATTTTTAGTCTTTGCTGAACATCCAAATATTTATTTACTTGAAATGGATATTAATTTCATGTATTAACTGCTTTTACCACACTGGCTAGGCAGTAACATTTTTAAGCAGACAAAGTTTTAATGAAAAAAAAAAATCTCTCTCTTTGTTTTTCTGTCTTTCTCTTGTTGAAGTAGTTTAACCTTCTAACCACTCAAACTGAAGGATTTGCAGTCCGTTTCAACTTAAAACCTCGCGTGATATTGAGAGTATGCTTTGTGGTAACAAGTTAGCTCATTGTGTCTGTTTCAGTGCAACGATCATTGTTTGTTTTTAAGAATTGTTTGTATATTAACATTGACATGACATGGTTGACTGATTGAATCTGGAAACATTTATTATATTTTGATAGACGCCAATCTAACTATGTAACATGGTGTAGTTTATTATGTTCTGCTCATTTGCTGCTATAGTTCGGTTAAAAATCCTGATCCATGTCCTCTGCTTGGCCCCTCATATCATTATATAGTAGTGTTTAACGCAGTAACATTCACTATATAAGTATGCAAACATTTGTAGTTTTACAGTGAGTCCTTAAATATTCATCTAGCTGTAAATATTCTTTGGAGGAACCTATGCACTGACCCCCTTGTAGTTAAACAAAACCGTATTCTTTAATAGGGTACCCTGATTATCATTACCAACTAATCACTAATTCATTAAGAAAGAGTTTTTAACCATGACAACTTTACTATATTGCAGTATCCCTTTAACAGCACAACTTTTTCAAAGGGTACCCATTTAGAATGCAAGCCAGTATTATATTACCTGAGGAATCATATAGAGACTCAAGAATTTGGCCACAGGAATAGACAATTCAGAGTATCTTTCTCCCAAGAATGCCTTCACAGATGATGTAAAGTCTGAGTAGTTAGAGAGGACTGGAAATGATCCATTCACAGCAAGCATTTGCTCCACACAATGCAAGGCTTTGGTAGCGTATACACAAGAATCACACATCAGATATCCAAGCCGAATCCCAGGAAGAAATCCAGAGTCATTGATAGTTTCGATGGTGTGGATTGCAGCTAACGACTGTACAAATGGTATTAAATCAAAACTGAAAAAAGGGACAAAGAGAGTAGGTTACAGTAATAAAAAAGTGTGAAGCGGTAAGTGACATTACTATTTTTAAAAGGACACTAATCCCATATACTCACTCAGTGCAGGTATACTGATCTGGACGAATCCGTGCTGGAAGATCTTTTACTTTGGAGTGAACCGATGCCAAAATCCCAAGGATGATGTCTCCAGGTGCATACGCCCCACATGGGGGCTCAGTATGATCACAGCGGGCACCCAGCCCCAACATCACAGCCACACACAACGCACAAAGAGACCGATGAAACAAACAGGGAGCCATGTTGTGAATATGTGGTTGAACATGTATCTAGTGAAGAACTAAAAGGCACACAAAAAATTGAAAGAATGTGGGAGAACAGGAAACACACAGCAAATACCAGAAACCAGCCATCTGAAGATGGCCTGATAAGCATGGCATGAAAAGCTGCGGAATATACTATTATTAGTGTTGGTTAAGATCTCTGCATGCTATGGACATAAAGTCAGCTCCAAAATGATTAGCACTCTTGGTAAAGATAGGTAAACGAATGTCATAAAACCACTCTCTCACTGAAAATGTGATTTTCAAGTGAATTTCGTCTAAGACAACAAAAAAACCTTTCCAAACAATATCTTTTTAACAAACCACATGTGCCACAGTTATTGGCACCTCTAGAAATTTCTTTGGACGAAATGTAACAAACATATTCCTATTTACAGTCCTATTTCCAAAAAAGTTGGGACGCTGGGCAACATGAAAATAAAAACAGAATGCAATGATGTGCAAATCATTTAAACCCTATATTTAATTGAAAAAGTACAAAGACTGTACAAAGAACAGTACAAAGAAACTGAGAAATTTTATTGTTTTTTGAAAATATATGCCCATTTTGAATTTGATACCAGCAACATGTTTCAAAAAACTTGAGACAGGGGCAAAAAAAGACTGGTGAAGTTGTGTAATACTAAAAAAACACCTGGTGGAACATCTCACAACTAACTAGGTTAATTGGCAACAGGTCAGTAACATGACTGGGTATAAAAGAGCATCCTAGAGAAGCTGAGTCTTTCAGAAGTAAAGATGAGGATGGATTCACCACTTTGTGGAAGACTGCACAGGCAAATAGTGCAATAATTCAAGAATAATGTTTATCAACATAAAATAGCAAAGAACTTAAGGATTTCATCAACCATGGTACAACCCCATTTCCAAAAAAGTTGGGACGCTGTGCAAAATGTAAATAAAAATAGAATGCAATGATATTGAAAATCATGTAAACCAGATTTTTAAAGGAAAATTCTACAAAGACAACAAATAAAATGTTAACACAGACAAATGTTATTGTTTTTTTGAAAAATATATGCACATTTTGAATTTGATGCCAACAACACGTTCCAAAAAAGTTGGGACAGGGTTATGTTTACCACTGTGCTGCATCACCTCTTCTTTTAACAGCACTCTGTAAGCGTCTGGGAACTGAGGAGACACTGCTGTAGTTTTGAAAGTGAAATGTTTTCCCATTCTTGTTTGATATAGGATTTCAGCTGCTCAACAGTTCAGGGTCTCATTTGTTGCATTTTTCATTTCATAACCCTCCAATTGTATTCAATGGGTGACAGTTCTGGACTGTAGACAGGCCAGTTTAGCACCCGGACTCTTTTAAAATGGAGCAATGTCGTTGTAAAACATGCAAAATGTGGTTTGACATTGTCTTGCTGAAATAATTCAGGCCTTCCCTGAAAAAGACGTCATCAAACGGAGTGGTCTTTAGCTCGGAGTACACAGCATCCATGATTTCCAAAAAGAATTTCAAATCTTGATTCGTCAGACCACAGGACACTTCTTCACTTCTCCTCAGACCATTTTGAATGAGCTTGGGCCCAGATAAGGTGGCAACATTTTTGGATCCTGTTTATATTTGGTTTATTCTTTGCGTTTTAGAGTTTTAACTTGCATTTATGTATGCAGTGCCGAACTGTTTTCACAGACAGTGGTTTTCAGAAGTGTTCCTGAACCCATGCAGTGATTTCCACTACAAAATCATGTCTGTTTTTAATGCAGTGCCACCTGAGGGCCCAAAGATCACGGCCAGCATATACTGGTGTTCGGCCTTGCCCTTGCATACAGAGATTTCTCCACATTCTCTGAAATTTTTAATGATATTATATACCATACAAGATGAAAAGCAAAAGCTCTTTGCTATTTTATGTTGAGAAACGTTATTCTTGAATTGTTGCACTATTTGATCGTACAGTCTTTCACAGAGTGGTGAACCCATCCTCATCTGTACTTCTGAAATACTCAGCCTCTCTGGGATGCTCTTTTTATACCCAGTGATGTTACTGAGCTGTTGCCAATTAACCAGCAGGTGTTTGTTTTTTTTAGCATTACACAACTTTACCAGCATTTTTTGTTGCCCTCGTCCCACCTTTTTGGAACGTGTTGTTGGCATCAAATTCGAAAACGTACGATAAAATTTCTTAGTTTCGACATTTGATATGTTATCTTTATACTATTTTCAATGAAATATAGGGTTTAAATGATCTGCATATCATTACATTTTGTTTTTATTTACATTTTGCACAGTGTCCCAACTTTTTTATAAATGGGGTTGTACTTAATATCATTAAAAGATTCAGAGAATCTGGAGAAGTCTCTGAAATGAAAAACAGGATTGGCTGGCCATGATCTTTGGGTTCTCAGGTGGCACTGCATGAAAAACAGATATGATTCTGTAGAGGAGATCACTGCATGGGCTCAGGAACACTTCCGAAAACCATTGTCTGTGAACACATTTCGTCACTGCATCCATAAATGCAAGAACTGTACCATACGAAGAAGAAAACACTTATAAACAGGATCCAGAAACACTGCTGCCTTCTCTGGGCCCAAGATAATTTAAGATGGACTGAGACAAAGTGGAAAAGTGTCTTGTGGTCAGACAAATCAAAATTTTAAATTCTTTTTGGAAATCATGGACTCTGCGTCCTCTGGATTGAAGATAAGAGTTACTATCCGGCTTGCTATCATTGCACAGTTCAAAATCCAGCGTACCTGAAATGATATTAGGGGTGCATTAGTGGGTGTCTTGCACCTCTGTGAAGGCACCATTTATACTGAACGATACATGATATATTGCACAGTGTGTGTTAACAGGAGAGGTGATATATACAGGTTTTGGACCAACATATGTTGCCATTAAGATGACATCGTTTTTAGGGATGACCTTGCTTATTTCAGCAATGCCAAACCACATTCTACACATATTACAACACCATGGCTCCGTAGTAAAGGAGTCCAGGTGCAAAACTGGCCTGCCTGCAGTCCAGACCTGTCACTCATTGAAAACATTTGGCACATTATGAAACAAAATGTATGAAAGAAGACAAACTGTAAAAAAAAATGTAACAAAGAAGACTCTGAACTGTTGAGCAGCTGAAATTCTTCTATTGCTGTTTCACTGGGGTATGAATATGATGTCACAAAGAGGCTTAATATCCTGGCTGTGTCCAGAAACCTTTAAAAGTTACAGTTTTTTCCTTTCGTTCCTCCTCCTCTCTGTGAATCGGAAACCGATTTCATGACAGCAACTTACCATCTCTCTGAATACCAGAGAAGCTGCCCCAAAAACCAGTTGAATCGGCTTCAAGCAGAGAATACACCAGTATATGCTACCCAGGAGGTCGTATACAGATTTTCAAGCGACATCACTGCATGCACACTCAGAGAGGATAAACAAACACAGAGCAGCCTAATTATTCATTAAATTGTGTGTTTTGTGTTTATTAATTCTATGTGTTGTGTATTTTGGGCTTGATGTAAAATAAAATAAAAAATATAAATTACCAATAAATTAAAAAAAACGGAGTACAAAACCACTTACGTAAATCAGCTGTCTTTGTGAAGTAGCTGTGATTGAACACAGAAGTATGAGGGACTACTTTCAAGTGAATGTTCTTTTTGGCTCAGTTCATCAATAGTCAACATACAATTTAATGATGCTAAGAGGAATCAGCTGTCTCATTTCCCCATTTTCTGCTCATGCTCTCCATTTCTCCTGCTCCTTTCCTCTCCTTGATTCCTATATGTTCTTCAGGCTTAGGAGGGGAGCAGAAGCATATCTACTGTTAGAGCAATAATCATTGAGTTTAAAATAGCTAGAGCCACAGTAAACATGCCTGGAAGAGGACACGTCTAGTTTATCCCCACGTGCAAATCTCCAAGGATCATAGTTAGAGATCGGCAGAAGATGTTAGCCAGGAATCTATTTGGAGAACATCTCAGAAGAAAGCCTTTTTTTATTTAATGACAAATGTAAGCTTCTGGATTTCACTAGATGCCACTGTAACTTTGACAAGGTTCTTTGGTCAAATAAGACAAAAACAGAGCTCTCTGGCAACAAACAATTAATTTGAATTTGGTGTAGAAAGAAGTACTATAATACAGAAAAAGAACTTAAGCCCTACTGTTAAGTATGTTGGTGGATCTGTGATGTTTTGGACTCCAGGAACCTTGTTAGGAAGCATACCATTATGAACTTCATGAAGTACCAGGAGATTTAAAACGAAAAATCTCTCTGCCTCTGCCAAAAAGATAATACTGGGCTGTCTTTAGATCTTCCAGGAGGACAGTGATCCAACTTCACACAAAAATGGTTCAGTGACCACAGAATCAAGCTGTTGACATGGTTATCGCAGTTCCCTGACCTAAAGCCCATTGAGATCCTCTAGGATGAGCTAAAGAGCAGAGTCAAAAAGAGAAGACCTTGGACCCAGGAGGAGTTTTCTCCAGTTTTCTCCCCCATTTTAATTTAACATGGTAATTGCCAATTCTACATGTTAGCTAAATCTCCCTCTATTGCACCTCTCAGGCTGGGAGGGTGGAGGCTGGCATTTGCTGAGACATGTGAAGCCAAACCACATCTTTCAAACTGCCAGCAACACAACCAGCTCAACAGGTTTGAAGAAGAATGCCAACTGCCAGTTCTGTCACGCTACCTAACAGATGTCCATGTTGGCTAGCATTGCACTGAGTGATAAGGGGCAGAAAGAGAGAGAGGATAAATGTGTTGTTCAGGACTCCCCACCATGGATGGCTGTGGCATCACCAGGATTCAAATTCACAGTCTTCAGATGATAGGGCTCACTGCTGTTGGCAAACCGAAACACAAAGTATTAAATGTTAATTATTGTGACAGTTTGTGAAAAGTGTTTGTTAATGTTCTTAAAGAAATGTAAATAAAAAACATACTTAAATTAAAGGTTTGATTTCTCCTATTTTGTCTTTTTGTCTCTTTCTTACACATCTTCATCAAAAGTGCCAATAATTATGCACTGAATGCATTAAATGTAGTTTGTTTATAGCCATATTTGCATTTGGAGTTTAGTGTAATAACAATATCTTTATTTATAGAGCACTTTTCATACTAGTGGCAGCTTAGAATGGCAGGTGATGAAGCTTAACACTAATAGACAAACCTATGGATATTAATTTAAAATCATAAAAGACAATGACAAAGATAACATTAAAAAAATATAAATACCAAAGATTTGTTTAATTTAAATAGATGCTAAGTTAAAGAGATACATTTTTTAAATGTTTATTAAAAGTGAACTCTGAGCTTATTGTCTAATAAAAGGTGAACTGAGCTCCACAGTTTAGAAGCAGAATAACAGAAAGAGTCTCTCCATGTTTTCTGTATTTTACAGAAGGTATTTGTAGAAGGTCAGTATCTGCAGATCTAAGAGCAGATAGACACTCTGTGATGTATGCGGTGCTTTAAGGTCATTTAGAGCCTTAAAACTAGTAGCAGAACTTCCGTCTTGAAAGATACAAGCAGCCAGTGCAGTTCTTTCAAAACAGAAGTGATACGAGCTCTCTGATTTGTCATTGTTAGGATCTGTGACCTAACAACATGAAAAATGCATGAACAAGTTTGAGATAGAAACGGCTGAACTACTTTACTGACTGTGTTTACATGTAGGGTAAAACAGCTCAGAGTCTAAAGTTACATGTAAGATTTATATTAATTTCTTTCCACAATTTCTATCACTACATTATATTTCAAGTATGTTAGCAATGTTAACCAGAAAACACTTGTTTTTGAGTGAAGTGAAACTGAAAGTTGCTTTTAGATTACTATCACAAACAACCAGCATTTCCTAGTACTGATGGCTTAATTACTTAGCTTAGTTTGTTGCTTGTTTTTGTTTGTCAGGACTTTTTTGCTTAGTTAATATGATAGGAAGAACATTACTATCAGTTCTTTACTTAAATGTTGGAATGATCAAAAATGGACTGTAGAAATGTTTAGTGAGTTCAATATAAAAATGAACTCATGTGGAAACAAGCCGATACTTTTGTTCAAGTTAAATAATCATTTTTACTGGAACAAAAAGTCAAATACGGTGAACAAAACTCATCAGTACCAACCTCACAAACACTTTTAAGCAAATTTTATAGTATTGAAGTCTTTGAGGACTGAAAGTTGCATTGCGTTCTGGTCAGAAGTTTGTCTGAAAATCAAATGATGACAGATTATCACTACAAACATCTGACAAAAACAGGTTTTGCTTTTACAGGAATGTACATGTAAGTTAAGAAAAGCCTGTCACCATGCCAAACTTTGTCACACACTCACACTGCTGCCTGTATAATGTAAGGTGTTCTTAAAAGTATCAGTTTGTTTTTAGTTTATTAAGTGTATTCTTAGCACTATTAACTCAGACTACCTTCATTCTAAGAATGTGTACATTTTTATGTGTGATCAGAGTAAAATGCAGCGACGTTCCTGAGAATTCGGAAATTCAGTGTCCTGTTTTACAGTAAATGTCTCCATCTGCTGACTGAAGGTGAAACAGCCTGCACAGCTTACTGGAGGATAGAACAGAATGTGGGTTTGCTCAAAAATGACTTTAAGCTATCTAGACTGAATAAAGATCTGCCACTATCCAGTTCAGTTACAGCTAAATATCAGCATTGACCTACCATATTGTCAGACTGTAAGACAATGCCTTAAACAGTAGTGCACCCTAATGTGGGCCAAATGTATAATGGCAAGATAAATCTTATCCTGACAATATGGCAGTTAATTCTGTAGGAAGTGGGGGTTGTTCAGACAGACCCCACTTCTCTGAGACGTAGGTTTCTCAGTGGCTGTCTTCACTACATAGTTGATAAGATAAAAAATAAACTATCTTGTCTTTGTACTGTTTTTTCTCAAATACTGGGCAAAATAGATTAACAAATCGCTGATCTTTGTTTTTATTAGCATTTCTCAAGTTTTTTGGAATTGTATTTGTGTGTGAGCAAAATATTTTTGTAAATGTAAGTGTCCTTAATCATACCTGAGCTTAAATACAATAAAAATATAATGACTTGTTTTAAGTAATGAAAAATCCTTAATTGCCTTAAAATTGATGGTGTTTTGGAAATGGCATTTGGAAATTAACCCTTTAAAAGGCCACCGGTGGCCCAAAAGTTTTATTACACACTTCTATAATCTAAGAACAGCTCAGCCAGTTTGCGTTAAATCCCTGTAATTACCGAAAAATAAGCCTTAGTATGTAATAATCCTGGGATTTTAAGGGGTCAAACTCCTTTATAAGATCTTTATTTGAAAGTACTGGTAGTGATTGGCTTATAGGCACTAGTCTCACAGCATATTTCACCCAGAAAGTGTGAACTGCTTTATCACTTCAAATTTCTACTACTCGATTTATATTGGTTTAAAAGCAAGTGCTGGTTTTGACGGGAGGTGCTGGTAAAAAGCTCTACATGAGAAATGTCTGGCAATCTCAGGTGTGTGAACTGCAAGTGCACTGTACAATAATCTGAATGTACCACCCACATAATCTGGTTAAACCTTGTTGAGGTGAAAGGTGGGTGGCAATCGGCATTGAAGGGGGTTCATCTGTTTAAATGCTTAATATGTTTGTAACATACTACAAGAAAACAGTTAACCATAATACACACATACACCACTAAACACACTTCCAACTTGTCTGTTGAACTACAGTGCAAACCTTGTGTTTCTGTGAAAACTTTGTGTTTCTATGTAACTTTGACTAAAAGCATTGGCAACTTTTTTGTAATTCAGAGTTTTATTTTCATATAAAAACTGTAACAATTTTATAGTACAACAGTAAAAAATAGACAGTCATGTACACACATGGGAACAAATTACAAATGACATATAAACAAATTTTTATACATAAGAATATAAACAAAATAATAAATAACTTAAAAAAGGAAAAAACAGCATTTCATTGCTTAATCTGGAAGACTGTTAAGTGCAGTTAATTAGTCTCTACAGGGTAGCTGGTTTTGTCTGATTGATCCTGGATCAAAACAATCACATCCGTAAGAGAATGTAGCCCTTGAGATTGAGAAATTGGAGTCATACAACATATTTTAATAATAGGCGGTCAGATTTTTGAAAACATTAAATGTGCTGTTTATATCACTGTTTATATCACTGTAGTCCAATTCAATACAGTAGCATTTCCCAACTCCAGTCCAGGTCAATGGCACTAAGAGGGTTATGGTACCCGTGCCTGCTGTAATTCACTAGAATAATAATAAACATCATTTTGCTTGTTTGATTGTTTTAGGTTATTTCAATATTTAAAAAAAAATAAAAAAGTAGAACCATGTACAAAAGTCACAGAACAATTCAGAATACAGTTTGCTGAGGCAAATAATGTACAAATTTGTTTCTCAGACCATAAAATCCAAGTTACAAATACTATTTTGTATTCCATACACATGTTTAAGAAATACTGTCTTGGTATATCAAACTGTACATAAAAAACCTTATTACTATTATTAAAAGGGTATTAAGTTTATGTCTGTAAAATCATTGTAGATATACTCTATAAGAGTATTACATTTTTAAAAACTTTTGTTTGGATATCATTTTTGCCTCATAATGTTACACTAAATGAAGTTCATGTGGCAAATTTAGTAAGGTTTTTTTCTACTAAAGACATTGGTTCTTTATAGAACCATGAACAAAAAAAGAACCATTTGCATGCCTAAAGGATCACCTACAGAGCACTGCTAGTAGCCTGTTAATGAAGTAAAGTTCTTTTTTATTTGAGGGTCCCATTTTGCTGGGAAAGCTTTCAACCACTTGTATTTCAGTTCCAAGAGGCAAGGTGACACTCGAGAAGGGCGGAGGAATAGGGTTAAAACCAAAAAATGGGATTGGGCATGGGATTGCATGGTGAAATAAGATTGATGGAGAATGTGTTGTATATGGTTCTGTTCAATGTCAGACTTGTAAAAATAGAAGAACCCTTTTTGGTGCTATATAGAACCATATACATAACATTCTCCATCAATCTGCAGAACCATTTCACCATGCAAAGAAGCATTTAAGTATGCATTGTTCTATATTCTACTATTGTCTTTACTAAAGAACACCTGAAGAACCATCTTTTTAAAAAGTATCTAACAGCGGCAGAGGAGTTAGAGACTCCTTGGTCGTTGACTTCTTGGTTTCCGACGCCTAAATGAGGCAACACTGACTTCTGAGAGATGCAGGCTGTTAATATCCCAGTTGGATGTTCCTGACTCTGCAATGCTGAATTGGCTCTGTGATATGCTGGGTATTGATACTGTTTCCCTTAAGCTCCTACAAACAACCCCAGAGTCATGGTCATCTGTATGAGAATCAACTGGGAGTTTAACTGCCTTCAATATCTCAGATTTTTCTGAGAGGATCTTAAACCATTTTGGGGCTAAGTGGCAGAAAATGACTCCGTAGCTGGAGACCATAATGGCAGAGATCTGGACGATGGGGCGTGAATCATATTGAGTGATGAAGACTGGAATAAAGCAGAACCAAGCAAACAGATGGATGAGCATGCTGAAGACTATAGGATCAGTCTCATTGTCTCTCCCCTTGAAGGCCAGTCCAAAACTTAGCACAGCTAGTAAAGCAATGTAGACATGCATCGCACCAAAGCCATACATAGAGCCCTGAGTGCACAGACGGTTCATGGTAAGTGACTGAGTTTTTGATGGTTTCTCTTCAAAATCAACAGGATCAAATATCATCCAGAAGATACAAATGAGAGCTTGAATAACAGTGAGGATCCCTATGATGACAAAAGGCTTATCTAGTCTTCTCAGCGTGCGCAGTCTATCTGGGTTGAAGGCCATATAGGCTAAGAATGTGTGAAAGGCCTTAACCAGAATGCAGGACACACAGAGAGTGAACCCAAGACCATACATGGTCTGTTGTGCTCTACAAACATGGATGTTTGGGCTGCCTAAGAAAAGTATTACACCTCCAAAACTCACCATCAGGCCAAATTTCATCAGACATGAAATGACTAAGATGTCCTTTATGATGGGTTTTTCTCTGTGTAGAATGTAAAAGATAAACGAGAACACCAGCAGTAGTGCACCTATTACTGTTCCAATCATCACTACAATGGAATAAGCTGAAGACCACTCCAAAAACCAAATGTTCCATTTCTGACATTTTCTTGACCCTGGAAGAGACCCAGAGCCTTCTGGACATTTTTTACAGGCAAGTTGATCTGTGGAGAGAAAGAAAGAGAAACATTTAAATGTTATTGTTAAATTTCACTTTGTGCCGATGTGAACTTTATCCCCCAAAATTTGCAAGCTTCAGAAATGTTATCCAACAAAAAATGAGAGGGTGGGCTGTGGCATCCTCTTTCTGAAAAATACTAAACATAGACACATTCCTTAGTCATTATGTCGTTGCTTATCACTCACAGTTTCAAAAAATAAACTAGTAGCTTAGCTGACATTAACCGTTTACTGACCTATATGTTCCCTCGATAACCACCAAATTTCCACCTAACCTCCAAATTAGTACCACCTGTACTCGCCTGACTGAGTGCTTTTAATTCAGATAGGTAAAAGGTCATTTGACATATTGAGATTCTAACTTCATGTTTGAATTTATTTTATTGCAAGTAGTTTTAACTATTAATCTTGTTTTTGAATTTGCAATAGATTTTACAAAGGAATTCTTCTCACATGTGAAAATGACATTTTACTATTTAAAGTTAATTTCTTACTTGTCAAAATTTCATTTTTAGGGGTTGAAATTTAATATGTATTAGTGATTTGCTATCATGTGTATATGTTACACAATTGTTGTTGTTTACTTTTTGCTGTCTCTTTCTCTGCACATTTTATATGGCATAGCGCTATATAAGCATTTATGTTCGGAAAAGTATGCAAAGCCAGTTTCTGACTCTGTAAAAGTGCTGTCCACACAACATCAGGGGACAGGCCATCACACTTGCAGGAGATAAGTGCTTTACTCAATCTATGTGTCCAGACACTCTTGTCAACACCAAATAGCAAAACTAAAACACAAAAGCAATATGAACAGAGGACAAAATTTTACAATTAATATATGAATTAATTTATATTAAGTAAAACATTGAGCATAAAAAAGGAAAAACAAACCAGCCTGTCATTAGACAGGACTATTTAGACCAATTATAACCAATGACTACTGTTAGAGGCCTGTCAGAGTAAAGTAATAAAGAGTAAAAGTTTTGCTCATGTTTACTAGGTGCCAAAATTTGTGGAGAGATCTGTATATACTTTACTCACCTGTCTCATTAGAATAGTATCCCTCACTACAGTTAGCACAGTCATAACAACAGGAGATTTTTGATATGTTCTTCTCTGTGCCTGGGGGACATGGCTCTGAACACCTGGACAAGGGCACCTGGATGTAAAGAGAGAGGTTTTGATGGGCATTAATGCTTTAGATAATGCTAATGCACAACAGTACAGACAGCATTTAATTTATTCTTACCGTGTTGTTGGCCCATGGGATTTTGCGCTCGTCAATCTCAACTTCGCCATTCTCTATGAGAAATCTTCCCACCACGTCAGGCTCTCTTTCATCACCACTCTTTTTCCACATTATGAGATCGTAACCATTCTCAAAATCCCCATATTGATTAAAGGCGTATGTCTTATTGTCCAAAGTGAAGTTTACTTTATGAAGAATGTCCACAAGCTGAAAATGTACATATAAAAGTATAAACACATCTTAATAAATGACAAAACAAATTTTGCCATACACTGTCACCACATGTTAACATATAAACGCTCTAAAGGTACAAGCAAAACTAAGTCTTATAGCCTCAGGAAAGTCTGTAATTGATGTGCCAAAGTCAAGTCAGGTCAACTCAGCTTTTTGACCGAGGCTTCAAGTGTCTACCACTATCTCTCATCTCTCTCTACATTTATATATATTATAGTTGGTACGGTGCAGGGGTCGTGGCTTGAACTTGAATGAGCACTGCTTCTGTGGCAAACCACTGTTGTGGCTTATTCAGTCATATGCCTTTATGTAAATTGCTTAGCTGAAGGCCACTCATCAGGACAACGGGCCTCATTCACCGATATCTTCTTAGGTTTCTTCTTAAGTATGTTTTTGCGAAAGGTTTTAAGATAAAGAAAAATTTCAATATTTAATTAAATCATTAAATTTAAATAATTAAAAGTTTACATGATTTACAACTGAAACATTATACTTGTCTCTTTGGTGATTTCTTTGCCTTTCGTTCATTGTGCTGTCTCCCTGCAGCAGAGCCAAATTATATAAAGTAGTCTACCTGATGATGTGTTAACTTTTTTCCATTAGTAACTTAATAAGTTATCATATTGTCTCATTAATGTTTCAGCTGAATACATGCATGGTTTCTCACAGAAACTACAACAACCATGTCGTTTTGGCCAAAAACATATTTGCATTTGATGTATACTCTCAGCTTTCTGCACACTGCCTTTTTGCAGTGCTATGCAAAGTCTGATGTTGTGGCCATTCCTTCTTGTGTGACTGTTATATTTTTTTGCAAAAGTAAGACTGCAAGATTATATTATTATGTTCAAGGGCAAATTTGCTGAATCCTCATTCTCCACTACCAGTTTATGACAGTCGTTCATACTGATGCATGGCAGACACAGCAGCACAACTCAGTAAGCCAATTATTTTTGTGTTGTTATTTGAGATTTCAGTCTTGTTACAAAAATTGCATCTCGATTTCAGTCCAAGTCGCAGTCCTCACCTCTGTGTCAGAGAGAGAGTAATAAATTCCTCTGAAGTAGCCAGTTTTTACTGTTTTCTGTTATCAATATTACAACCAACAATAACTCACAAGACCAGCTTTGTGTTCTTATCATCACAGGTTTTGCTGTATTAACACACAACATATCAATTTTACCTGCCACGGCAATAAGTTGGCAGCTCCAGAGCAGGCAGTGTCGTTGCATTTAAGAAGTTTCCTGATGGCATGAGCTGCAGCATACACTGCTACTCTCTGACCGTAGGCCTCCATCAGATGCACAGCATGGAGCAGGTAGTCATCGTTCGCCTCCAGGGGGTCTGTCACATTACAGGCCAAAGGGGACGTGTGTTCCGACTGCTGACTGCAGTTGAACCTTAACTGCTTGTACTCCCTGATGAAATCATTCCTCACTCCTGGGCTTATCGTCAGATTTTGGAGGTAGTCTTCAAAACCTGGGATGATCCCTGTGACAAAGTCAAAGCCAAAGATGTCTCCCACCTTATTTATGTCCTTCATCTTCATTACAAAGCGTGCTGTAGACCAGGCATCACTGGCGATCCAGATTCGAGAAGTATTTGTCTTAATCAGCTCTTGAAAGAGCATCTCCACATGTTCTGGTCTCAAAATGAGCAGCACAACTTTGGCAGTGGACCTTCGGATAACATCAGCCACCTCTTTGATACGCCGTTCAATATTTAAGGAGCCTAGGTAGTTTGGTAACACTTCCTGGAACTCCACACATATGTTTTCATATCCTGAATCAACCAGAAAATGCTGCAGAGCAGGTTCTCCATATTCATCGTCTATTGTCACCACTCCAACCCAGTCCCAGTTAAAGTGCTTCATGAGCTTTGCAAGTGCCTTTGTTTGGTATACATCACTTGGAATGACACGGAAAAAGGCTGCATAACGTGATTTGTCACTCAGTGCTGGTGAAGAAGATGTGCAGCTGATCTATTAAGAGAAAAGTGAAGTGTAATTAGTTTGCGTGTAATTCAGTATAATTTTCTTATGTAGCACTCAGTGCTGAAAAGCTTAATACAGATGAAAGTAACAATGATCAACTGCTCAAATAGTTACAATATTAAAGTTTTATGAATAAGTAAACCAAAAACTCCAAATGATACTAACAAACGACCTTGCAAAATATATAACATATTTGAAATGGATTTGAAATTCAATTTTAAAACTGGCCAATCAAAATATCAGTTTATCAATTAATTGTATCCTAAACTACCACAACCTCAAAAACCTAGCTACAGTTTTTAGTATTGAATCTAAGAGCTCCTAATCACTCTGTTAGGAGAAGTATTATGGAGTTAATTTGTGCCAAAATGTTTGAGTGAAGATTATGATGTTTGAGAGAGGAATGTTACAGTTTGAGAGGACAGCTGTGTTCTGAGTGTGCAGCTAATGAACTTGAGTGCACTTGTCAACATGAAGTGCACAAGTTTGTGCCCACTATTGTTCCTTTCCTGCCTCAGAGCTGATTTGGCATTTTTCACAGACAGCTGGAACAACCACTCAATCCGCACAGAGGGAAGTTTAACAGTTAAATCAGCTCTGGTGTATAGGAATGATCCAATCCTCTATGAGGTGAGTGTTTTTATGTAAAGAAGTGCAACAGCTGAATCAAATTCATTTTTTACATATAAATTATTTGTTGTTTATGTTCCAATCATTTACCGATCAGAAATCGACTAACCTGTAATGACATGGCTTTTTTAGAGTAGGAGTGCTGATTTAGGATCAGAATCCTCTCTTTTTTACTTTAGCTGTGTCCACAACTGTGCCCTATTCACTATATAGTGCACTATTTTGGGGTTCCACCATTTTGTAGTGTAGAAGATCCAGAGCACTCAAACAATCCCACAATGCACTGCAATAAGTAATGTACAACCAATGTACCCTAGCGGATAGAGGACATCCATAATGCACTGCGTTGGTTGGTTTTAAGATTATTCTTAAAGCCCAGGTACAATGGCAGCATCTCCTCAGACCTCTCTTTTTACACCTGTAGACGGACTTAAGCTGTTCTGATGTGTGCAGTCAGACTCCGCGTTATAGTGGACTGATGGAATGACGGTTATAGTGTTTATGCGACAGAATCTGCTGTCGCACAGTAATGAGCAAACCTGTACGACATAATGTCTGAAATCGTTATATACAACCACAAATTCTGCTCCCTGTTATAGTGTCCTATATAGTGATCCAGATTTTTTCCAAATGTAGGGTACAGTGATTAGGGGACTGCTTCAGACATGGCATTTGACTCCACTGACTGGAACAGATCCTAGATCAACACTCTAAATGTGAATAGCTTTGTGAATACAGGCCCTGAAGTGTTTCCATAATAATGAAGTTCAAGAGTTGTGTTTTGCAAAAATTATTCATTATTAGTGTGACAACTAATTGACTAGTCTAGTCTATCCCTAGTTCTTAGCTATATATTTAGTGTGTTGGTGGAAAGTGATCTTTAAACTCACCCTGAAGCCAATCATTATATTTATTCTGTTAAAAAATCTGATTACTTGTACATTTAATTCTGCACTGTTGTTGGGAAACCACAAGACATCCTTGTCTTCATTTATCTTTTCAGTTTCAGCAAGATGAGATGCTGCCAGAAGGCCCAACAAATGTGGAAAAAGGAGTGATTGTGCCCAGCATTCCCTGCCCTCTGTCCCTGGACCAATTTGCCGTACTGCCGAGTACCAAACAGAGTGTTATGAGAAAAAAAAACTGGCAAGATGGCTGCACAAGCGACCAAAAAAACCCACAAATATTTTCTCAGTTAAAAATAACGATAATCATTGTATTGTCTTAGTTTAATGTAATTTCAATGTATTATGGTCATTTTTTTCATAACAAGCATAAAAAATCGCGAATAGTATGCTAATGTCTCAGAAGCTAGCTAGCTAACTTTCCCATTCCACCTTAAATAGTCCAGCTGTACTGATGCCTGAAGCACCAGAATAGAACTGCTGCACCATTTAAGGTGGAAAGGGAAAATTCAAACAAGAAGCTGGTGAAAAGTTGACTTTGGCTTCATATCACCACAGAATTAGCGGTGAGTGATAATAAATAATTGTCAGTCTGATTCACTCAGACTGCGTTCAGTATTAACATAAAACTATAATAATAGATTAATAATTAAATTAGTAAGACGGTTAAGACTGTTCAGTAGAACACTGTTAGACACTGTTAGCTACATTCAAAGAAATTTCTGTAATGTCAGCTTAGTTGGTTAATGTTAAGCTATTTATTCTAAGTTATCTAATGTTATATTGGTGGTTAAGCCCCTGATAGGAAACAAATTAAACAGCCTAGCTACCAACGTAAGTTAAATAAGTTATTATTTATGACAGTTGTACTGTTAAACCATTTATATCAATACTAGATACTAGAAAACTAGAAACCATCTAACTGTTGTCAGAAGGCTACAAAGCACACCAGCTGACTCAATACCATGGCAACAAGTGTACCTTGGCCATTTGGCATAAAGCTGCTTAAGAAAAGATGTTGTGATTGGTGCACTGACAGGAACGGCCCCTCAAAATGTCTGATTGGCTGGGGTTTTGACACAGATGTTCAAACATTTTATATTGAGCAGATTTGAAACCTGAGAGAAGCTGTGGAGTTGGGAGAAAAAATGCTTTACGTGCACGTACGAGTTCTGAAGGTGAAGAGCACTCAAGTTTTGAGTGAAACCAGTGTTTTTGTTCTGAAAGGGATGCATTGTTGTGCAGATTTTTAAGTTTTGAATGAAACCAGAGTGTTTTGTTGAGCAAATACGAAGGCGTTTATTTGCGCACCTCGTGTTGAGAAGTGCATTCAAGTTCATTAGCTGCACGCTTAGAAAACCGCTGTCCTCTCAAACCAGAACATTCCTCTCTCAAACATCATAATATTCTCTCTAACATTTTGGCACAAAATTAACTTCATGAAGTATGAGCTCTTGGAGTCCTGCATTAGCAGTGATACTGTGAGCATTTTGGAGATGAATGTAGGGAGGACTGCTATGTGGATTTATGGACTGAAAGTGAATAAACACAACCTGTTTTAGGCACGAATTCTTTTGCATTTTCATTCACTTTTCATCCATTTGTAGTATGTTTAGTGAAGGTTTTCTCTGCTCTCTGAAACAGAGTGTGCTGTACTCAGTTTGTGTACCGCGCTAGTGAGTTGTAGTTTCACTGAACTCTCCTTTACTATTGCTATGGGTACCATAACACATACAGACCAACAGTAACAACTACCTTGCGTGCTCTCCTTCACTGGCATTCAAGTAAACTGCCATTGCCAGTCCAGAGTGTTTTCAATCAGTGAAAGCTAAGCAGTGATAGGAAACTTTATGAGTGTTCAGATTCATCTGTTGGATTTTTTGTAAATGTCAGTATAATACAATATGAAAGCATAAGATTGGACAGAACTGAGTGAGTATCATGGCCAATGCGTGAGGGTCCTTTTTGGATTCCTGCATGTTAAGTAGCCAGTTAATGCATAAATGGAAGTGCTTTTAATATTCAGTGTTTTTCTACAGTGTTGTTAGCAGTGGTGGACAGTAACGAAGTAAATATAAGTTGTTACTGTACTTAAGTAGTTTTTTCATGTATCTGTACTTTACTGAAGTATTTCCATTTTTGGCGCCTTTTTACCTTTACTCCACTTTACTACTAAAGTCAAATATCTTACTTTTTACTCCACTACATTATGAGAAATCGGTCATTCCTTTTGGTTTATGTGTACATAAAAATGTAACATTTTTCAAAGTCAAAACAAAAAAAAGCATGAAACAAGAACACCAATCAGGGCACAGCATGCACTTTGTTTTGAGCTTGTTTTGGCCTGTTGGACATACCAACCCGGTGCAAGCATATGGTTCTACAATGGCATTTTAAGGCCACTGTTCATAAAAATAAAAATAGTAGACTTCGAGAATAAAGTCGTAATATGTAGAGAAAGAAGTCGTATTATGTTGAGAATGAAGTCATAATATTTCAAGAAAAAAGTTTTATTTTAAATTTAAGTTTTATATTTTGAGAATAAAGTCATAATATTTCGAAAAAAAGTCACAATATTTGGAGGATAAAGTGGGCTAACTGTATGGGGGCTGCCATAACGTGTTGGGGTCTTGGTTGCTGTACTGGTGCCACTCACTCTTGTCTCTTTGTGGATCGATCATTTTGATCATCATCCTCACTGTCTGCGAAACTTCATCCCCTCTTTGAATGGCACACAGATGTAGCCACCAATAGCTGTGTAGACGACCCTGCCTGTTATTCTGCTTCAACAAAACAGACAGACAGTTTCCTCCGAGTCCGTCTGGAAACACAGTTTCCTGTTCAGCCATTTCAGCCATTTCTTATACTAATAACAAGCTGACGCTGATGTGTCAGGAGAGACAGGGAGTATTTCTTTATGGGTGAAATCGATATGAAAGTAACTCCACCAACTCCTCAACACCCCTCATTTAACACGAGGAGGTGCTGCCTGCCCTTTGCAAAGCCTTTGGCCACAATATTGCGACCTTCCTGGTATTAATGCCACTTTAATGTCATAATTCTACAGCTTTTTTCTCAAAATATTACATCTTTATTCTAGTCTACTATTTTTATTTTTATTAATAGTGGCCCTAAAATGCTGCCGTATGGTTCAACGTCAGTGTAGCAGCGTAAAATTTTGGGAGTGTCTATTCCAACATAAGTGATGGAACTAACCTAACTTAGACCACAGTATGTACTCATATGCAGTTGTGACTGATGTGTTTTTTTTCTGAATTTATACAAACACTATTTCATTTTATTGTAAATTTGTTTTGGCTAGTTTATGTTTATGAACAGAGACATGTACAGAACATAGTAAAGGAAAACTCATTTGTGAACCTGTGTTTAAAGCAAGTTTTTATTAAACTTAAACTTGTAACTAAGTTGCAAATAAATCTTAAACTGAAACTTTGCTTGTTTGCAAAAAAAAGTGATTTCAGAGCCACTCAGTTCTACCTGATGGAAACTGTTTGCCTTCAGTGTTTTGTGCTTATGATCATTTAAATAGACATCAGTGTCACTAATTAATGACTCTATTAAGAGACTGGTTTACCAAGAGAGACACTGGAGTATTTTCACCTAAAATGAGTTAATGAAGCGAGTCTTGTTACACAAATGGTAATAGGACATCAGAGTCATAATTAATCTTTCAGTACTTTTACTTTTGATACTTAAGTACATTTGAAGGCAAATACTTTTGTACTTTTACTCAAGTGGAGGTCTAAAGGGAGGAACTTCTACTTTATTTACTTTGGGTATCTCTACTTTAACTCAAGTACATGATTTGTGTACTTCGTCCACCACTGGTTGTTAGTTTAATTTAAAACGTCTCTACCTCTTAGCTTAAGAACAAGCTAATGTTAGCATCTAGTGCTAACTAGCACAGTAGAGGGCTATCTGAGAATGGGAGCAGCAGTGGGATTGTGGGAGGAGCAGTGGGATTATTGGAGTAGCAGTAGACTGAAGCATGTGAAGAGAGCCAAAATAATGCTGAGAACTTCATTTATATTTTTTGTGAAACATTTTAGCAGATGAATTACAAGAAAAAAAACTGCCATATAGTAAATAGTAACAATAAGAAACGGCATAAACAAACAAAAAAAAATTACAACTGCAACTTTTTTCCCCAATGTGTATTCCAAATATGCATTGTAACAGAACATGTTACTGAATACATTCAGGACAGTATTCAGTGTTTAGCCACCACTGCGAGAGCATTCTGCCCAACCCTTCTAACTGCTACATTCAAAACATTATGAACATGAAATATGATAGTTTCTGCATGTCCTGTAGCTAAAAGTTGCCTGGCACTATGTTGTAATGCTCTTGAATGATCAGACTTGTTTAATAACATACAACACTAAGCTAAAATAAGTGTTTTGGTAAGACAATCGACACAGATATCAGTCTTTATAATTATGATAAGCCTATTATAATTAACTATTTAAAAGCATGTTTCTGAGAGCAATGGGTCTTTAGGTGTGTGTGTAATGGGTATTTAATGGGCCTAATATATAAATACAAACATGGTTAAGTAATGTGGCTATAAGAACTGGCTTTGGATGATTTGCTGCTAGTATGCCATGTTAAATTTCATAACACTGTATCAGTGATGTTTTAAACAAGTGACATTATGGCATCTCATGTCACACAGTCAGAGCCCCTTTAATCCCAGAACTTCACCTCATATTACCTGGGGAATCATGTAGATGCTGAGCAGCTTGGCCACAGGAATGGACAGCTCAGAGTATCTCTCTCCTAAGAATGCCTTCACTGGCGAAGAAAAGTTTGAGTTGTCCGTGAGAACTGCAAGTGTCTTGTTAATAGAAAGCATGTGCTCCACACACTGCAAGGCTTTGGTAGAGTACACACAGGGATCACATATCAGATATCCAAGCCGAATCCCAGGAAGAAATCCAGAGTCATTGATCTTTTCGATGGTGTAAATTGTGGCTAGAGAGTGTACAAATGGTATGAGATCGAAGCTGGAGAAGAGACAGAAGAAGAGCAGATTACAATGATGTGTAATGTAAATGGTATATTTAACAATAATAGTAATAATAAAAAGACACTATACTCTCTCACTTACTCTGTGCAGGTATATTTGTCTGGGCGAACCCGATCCTGAAGGTCCTTTACTTTACTGTGAACTGAGGCCAAAATCCCAAGAACAATGTCTCCAGGTGCATACGCCCCAGGCAGGGACTCCGTATCATCACAGTGGACCCCCAACCCCAACATTACAGCCACCCATAATGCACAAAAACACAGAGAAGATACACACGACGCCATTTCGCATTTCGTGAAAGTGTTTGAGGGTAACTTGGCGAAGAACTGTGTGAAAACTGAAACCTTTGAGAGGAAGAATGTGGGAGAGCAGGAACCACACAACAAAGGAGCAGAACCTGTTTAGTCTAAAGTTGGAATGAGAAACTGTTGTGGACAAAAATGTTGTTTTAGGTCTCAAAGCAGAGAGTATGTTATTATGAAAGTACTGTAGTCTGGTAAACTGTGTCTTTTTCATTTTTGGCCTTTATTTATTTTGTTCTCAAATCAGGTCACAAAGCATGGTCTCAAATTTTAAGTTAACAATGGGGAATTCAACACATGAATAGAACTCAAAAGCATCACACCCACTTGTGAATGCAGGTCCTAGAAATGACGCTCCTAATTACACCATCCTGCCTTTTGGTTTGTTTGCTCGAGAGGCCTCAAATAGGCCTAAAATTCATACAATTCATTTACCTAACTGACACAGAAAAGCAGGGTCAGTGAGTAGGGTGCAGATACATTGTATCTTTGATCAGTCTTTTATTTAATGACTAGGGGTGAATTAATTTCATATTATCATTTAAAAACTGAATATTACTTTTGTTACATTGGCAGATTATCACAGCCTCTGCCAAGAAGCAAGCTTGCCTTTACAGGAAAGATCTGACAAGTAGCTGAAATGTGAGATTCTGTCACTGTGCCACACTCACAGTGAATGTGAAAGTATTCCATACAGACTACATTTGAACTAGAATGACTTCACCAATATCAACGGACATATCAGTTCAGTTTATTTTTATTATTTCCTTTTATTTTACTTTATTTTGAGATCTTTCATGACGTGTTGAATCATAAATGAAAAGATACTGCAACTTTCATTTTATATCAGAGAAAAAAGGTCTAACTAGTTTTAATCTACACCAACAGATTATAAACACAGATTATAAACACAGCCTTTTATTTTTGAAAATAAACAACAAATATTACAAACAACTGAGAAAAACACCCCCCCTTCTCTCCTCAAAACATTGGGACATAATGTTAATCCCGTTGCTGGGCCTAATTGCAGTTGCTATGGTATGGTTGGACAATTGTTAGCATTACACTATGCTACCTGGCGCAGTGGGTAGCGCTGTCGCCTCACATCAAGAAGAGCCTGGGTTCGATTTCCCAGATGGGCAACTAGGGTCCTTTCTGTGTGGAGTTCGCATGTTCTCCCCATGTCTGTGTGAGTTTCCTCTGGGTGCTCAGTCTTCCTCCCACAGTCCAAAGATATGCAGTCAGGCCAATTGTCTGTCTGCCCTGCATTGGACTGGCAACGTGTCCAGAGTGTATCCTGCGTTCTGCGGATAAGCGGTTTAGTAAGTGTGTGTGTGTCAGAAGGAGAGAGAGAGTGAGTGTGTGTGTGAGAGAGAGAGTTTTGCTTCAGTTTGAAAGTGCCTTATATTTTAAAAAAAAACTCATACCTTAGGGTAATGAAGAAGGCCATATTAATGTAGAAGCAGTGGAGTAGCCTAGGTAACAACATTGTAAAACTGGGATTAATTCCAAGTGAAATTCAATGAGATTCTCAACAATTCCTGAAAAGGTGATTATCTATTCATACAATCGCATATGTTCACTGTTGCCTCTGTTGGAAGTGGAATTCCACTTTTTTTCAAAAGATCAGCATAGATTAATCTCTGAGATGTAATCAAAATCAGAGGTTTAGTGTGAATTGGTTGAGTCTAGAGACTCAGATTTCTTTACAGTGGCAGTGATAGGAACCAGGGGTCGCCATGACTGCAACACTAAAATAGACATTTTATTTACTATCCAAAACCACCAGTGAACCTACACGAGTCTTCAAAGTTTTACATGGAATGTTAATGATGCTAAATGGTGGTTAAAAAAAGCTTTTTGGGCCTTGATTACATGCTTTACTGCATGTACCACTCAACCATGAAAGGATTTTTAACACTTTTTAAGCCAAAACATCTCTAAACTATCACAAATAATTTTTCAGACATAAGGCAGCATATTGGAAACCATTTAATGTAATAACTTTCTGTGGTCTGGTTCCTATCACCACCACTGTGAACAATTCTGACTCTGTAAGTTTCTCTAGAACGGAGCATTTCACACCAAACCACTCTGAATGACTGTTTACATCTTATCCATTTCATTACACAGAAATCAGCGGAATCAGTGGAATCTTCCTAGTCTTGGCTCTATATATCTTAAGTAGTGGACTGCTTGCAGTACTGAACACAACACTCTCTTCAACAGATGGCAGGTATTTTTTCCTGTTCTGCTTACACTTTGTAATTTCCCATCAAAATTCCTGCACTACACTTCTGTTTCCTCATTCAAAACTCTTTTGAGGGCTTTTGTCTTCACACAACATTTCTATCTTTTTTATATATTGCTATGTGTTTAAAGTGTGCTTTCAGTCAGTACTTTTGGTCCAGCTGAACAGTAATAAACTGGTTTATTTAGTTTGTTTTTACATTTATAACATGTTTTGTTAATGCTTTTTGAGAGTTTCTGTAACTGAGAAATCACTTTTACTTTTTTCATACTACTGTACTACAAAATTAGAGAAAGAGACAGAGAGGGAGAGGGAGAGAGAGAGAGAGAGAGAGAGAGAGAGAGAGAGAGAAGCACAATGATGATGCTAGAACAGCACTTTATCTACTTCAACAAATGCCATGCATTTAGAGCAAGACAGTACCAACTGGACACCAAAACAAAGAGCTCAAAACTGAACACATGGCGATCAGCTCATCTGTGATCATCAGGGAGTCTTCACCAACACTGTGTAAATTCAGCTCAGAATCATGAAGAAATTTAGGTGTGGTGCGAGTAAAAGACAAAGTGAGTTTAAAATTTTGATAACCTGAAGATCTTTTTACTGACACAAAAATACAGTGACAATATCTGCATGTGTGTACGATACACTCAGGGATCCTGTATCATCACAGCTACTCACAGAATACAAAGACAAAAACAATGTCACAAAGGTTTTTGCGGGTAACTTCATGATGAAAAATGTAGGAGAACAGGAACCACACAGCAAAGCGGAGAACCCGTTTAGTCTAAAGTTGGCACAACTGCTGTGAATGAAAGCATTGTTTTAGGTCTCTAAACACACAGCATGTTTTTTCACAAAGTGCTGTAGCCTGTTAAACTGTGACTTTTGCTTTTGGTCTTTGGTATTCACACATTTCAAAACTAAATACCTGGTTTCAAATGTCAAGAAAGCAGCAAGTGATATTCAACACATGAAATGAAATGACTGACTTAATTACACCATCCTGACTTTTGTTTTGTTTATTGGTCTGTTAAAAAAAGAGTGATTTTTGCTCAAATAACTGCATAAAATGATGGCAAGCTGTCCTGGTTCAGCAGCAGAAAAACAGTCCCAAATCGTGATACTGCCACCACTGTGTTTGAAAGTTAGGATGAGGTTCTTATGCTAGAATGCAATGTTCATTCTTTGTCAAACATAACATCTCTCACTTAAGCTGTAAAAATCTGAGTAAGAGAAGTTTGCAGATCCTTAGATGTTACTATGCAGCTCTGTGTGATCTCCCAGAATATTATAAGCCTTACTCCTGGAGTGATTTTTGTTGGATGACCAACCCTGGGCAGGTTAATAATGGTGCTGAATTTCCTGCATTTGTACGCTCTCTACCTGACAGTGGATCTGTGAATTCCACACTCTTCAGGAACTGAACCTCTTCCAGCCTAACGAGAAAATGCTTTTTGTAGCCACCCTCAAATATATATGAAAAAATGAATGGAAAACTACATAATTCATTGTGATATTTGTTTTACTGGGTTCTCTTTTTCTATTGTTATGACTTACATGAAAATCTGATCTCATTTTAGGTCAGATTGATGCTAAATGCTAAATTAATGCTGAAGGGGAGGGCCTTTGATACAGTTATGGCACATTTTATATTTTATGTTTTGTTTTTTTTTTCAATATGTTAAACTAGTGAAAAGTGGGTCTTTAGAAGAAATTTCGACCTAAGAACGTTTGGTGAATGAGGCCAAATGTGTTGTGAAATATTAGGAATTAAATTTTTACTTTTGGTATCATTTACATTTACATTTACATCATTTAGCAGACGCTCTTATCCAGAGCGACTTACAAAAAGTGCTTTGTCTATCCAGAGAAAGAATCTTCGCTAGCTACCGATAGGTTAGAGAGAAAGTCAGTCCTAAGCTCAGATACTGGTAGAATCAGAAGGTCATTGACACCTAGTGAAAAAGGGGTATCAATATTTCTTCTTCTGTATAAGTTAAAGCTAGTGATCAACAAGGGAGATAATAGTTCTAGAAGTCACTGTACGACTTACAAAGTAACGAACTGTAATTGTCATCTGTTGTCATGAAAGACCTGAGCAGAACTGAGCAGAGTGTGGAAATTTGATGTGATGTTTTAAAGTCGATGTCTCCACCTGCTGACTGAAACTCACACTGCAACCTGCACAGTGTACTGGAGGCAAGTATAACAAAGCAGGTAAAGTAATTATGGTAGCTTTTTGAAACATCCATCTCAAATGTGATAGACAATCAATTGACGTATAAGTCATTTTTTGACCTGACCAACTGAGTAATGGCCATTGTAAGTATTCCTGTTTATTTACAGTAAAGTTTTTACTTGCAGACATTCATTAAATTAAAGGAATAGTTTAACAAAAGTGAAAATTTACAGTATTTGTTAACTGGTCTATGCTTATGAAAAATCTGAAAATAAATTTTAATCCAATTAATAGTAACCATGGTGCTCTATACATAAAAAGAAATTAAAGAGTCTTAGTGAAGTGTTGGGCTTCCACAAGCTGACAGAACAGAAGGTATTGAACACCGGTCTTCCAAAAGATATTCCCACATCTGGTGTTTCGATGATGGTGGTGAGGACTGCTGTCTAACATATCAGTCCAAAATATCCCATAGATGTTCATTTGCGCTGAGATCTGGTGACTACAAAGGCCATTGCACATAAGTTACATAATTTTCATATTTACAGTGAGGGTGACCACTCCCATCAGGATACAAATC